AGAGAGAAGAGAAAGAGAAAGAAGGAAAGAAGGAAAGATGAGATCTGGACCCACTCAGTTACATGAAGAGAACTCATAAGAGCTCAATTCACATTAAATCCTAACTTCTAGTACATCAGATTGTAACTGTATTTGGAGGTAAGGTCTTCAAAGAGTTACAAAGCTAAAATGATGTCGTTAGGGTGGACCCTCTTCCAGTAAGATTGGTGTCCTTATAAGAAGTGGAAATTTTGACACAGATATACACACTCAGAGGAAATGTAACAGCATTCCTATTGGTCTTAAGGGTTAACTTGCTTCAAGCTTATTCATTCCTTGCTTGCTGACCAAAATCTCTGTAGCAGTACTAACCTACTTCCCTTGAGATCCTGCAGACCGCTGACCTTGAGGAACAAAGAACCAGACTTTCTGGAAGATAAGACATGACTATACTCAAAAACAGCTGCCACTGACCATAGTATCCTCAGTAAGAGACATCTGGAAGCCTTGATTCCTGGTACAGGGATAGGAGTTGGGATTGCCTTGCCAGGATGTGGCTTGTTGGACTTCAGGGGCATCCTTTACTGAGAGACACCTAGGAGCCTTGATTATTGGTAAAGCAGAAGAATCAGGAAAACTTGCATGGACAGATGATTAACTGGTGAGCACCAACTTCTCTTGAACATAGTCCCCTTACCATTCCCTGTGCCTTCCCTTTTAAAAATTCTCCTGCTTCCCTTGGACAGGGAAGATGGGTCTTTGAGATGTTAGTCCGCCATTTTCCCAGGTTGCCAACTTTGTGAATAAAGCAGCCTTTCCTTTCCCACCAATGCCTGTCACTTGAGTGTTGGCTTTTGAGTGGTGACTTTGGAACTGGTCCTCTCTCTGGTAACAGAAAGGCTATGTGAGGACACAGCAAGAAGGCAGCCATCTGTGAGCCAAGGAGAGAGGCTCCAGGAGATACCAAACCCATCAACACCTTGATCTTGGACTTGCTAGCCTCCAGAACTATGAGAAAATATATTTCTATCGTTTAAGCCACCCAATCTGTGGTATTTTTTGTGGCCACCCTAGCAAACTAACATATACTGCTTTATTGTTTCCCTTTAAAAAGAATCCAAATTAAACCTTGCCCTGAAAATGGACATCATCCTTAATTTTTGACAAGTGTTGAACACTGTGTCAGTATCTTTCCATGGCCATTGCCAGCATCACCTCTGCTGGGATTCCTACAGTAGTCTTCCAAATGGCTTTCTGCTTCCTATCTTCCCTCACTCCAGTCCATTCTCCACAAAGTAGACAGAATAGTCTTTATAAGAACTGCAGTATCATTGCACTTAAAATCTTTCTCTACCTCGGGCTATCAGTCCCTACATAATCTGGTCTCTTTTTCTCTCCAGCTTTGTCTTGCTCCATTCTCCTCATGTTCCCACACTTCAATTTTTCTATACTTCCTTTGACACCATTAAAAACCTAGCTGTGGGGTGCCTGCATGGCTCAGTTGGTTAAGTGTCCAACTCTTGATTTTGGCTCAGGTCATGATCTCACAGTTCATGAGTTCAAGCCCTGCATCACTGCCAGCACAGAGCCTTCTTGGGATTCTTTTTCCCTCTTTCTGCCCTTCCCCTACTCATGCTCTCTCTCTCTTAAGTAAAACTTAAGAAAAATCTAGCTTTTACCTGCTTTAGGGCCTTCCTGTATACTGTTCTGTGTCGCAGATTATACTTTACAAAAATGGTTTCAGTAACATCTCCCAGACCCAGCAGTAATTTTTTAGAATGTTTGAGAGAAAGAGCACATATGCGTGCACAAGCGGGGTAGGGGCAGAGAGAGGGAGATAGAATCCCAAGCAGACTCTGTGCTGCCAGTGCTGAGCCTGATGCAAGGCTCCAGCTCACACACTGTGAGATTATAACCTGAGCTGAAATCAAGTCAGATGTTTAATTTACCAAGCAACCCAGGGGCTACCCTGCCTCCCCCCAGCTTTTTTTTTTCCTGCCTCCCCTTTTTTAATGCCAGCAGTGATTTTTAGAGTGACTTTGAGATTCCTCCCATGGAGAGGTGGTTATTGATGTTCTCTCCCCTTGAATTTGGATGCACATGGGACTACAGAAGTGATACTGTGTTACTTCCAAGACTAGGTCATAAAAGGAAAGAGTTTCTGTTGGGCTTGAGTCACTTGTTCTGGAAATCCAGCTACCATGTTGTGAGGAAGTCCAGGCAGGCTTGATTAGGCCCAAGTAGAAAGAAATTGAAGCCCTCAACTCACAGCCCCAGCTGAGCTCCCAGCCAACTGCCAGCACCAATTTGCCAGCCATGTGAGCCATCTTGAAGTAGGTATTTCCAGCCCCTTAAGCTGTCCTAGCTAATCCTACTGGATCATATGAGCTATCCCCATCAAAGCTCAGCTCAAATTGTAGATTTGTGAATAAAATAAATGTTTTTTTAAGACACTAAGTTTTGGAATGGTTTGTTAGTTAGCAATAGATAACTGATAAAACTTGGAATACTCTCCTCCCCACTCCCCTGTGCATGGCTGCTTTCTTCTCATTCTTCAGGTCTCTGTTTCAATGTCCTCTCCTTGATAGGTCTAGCTAGGTAGTCTCTATTATAGCTACCTGGGCTTTTGTTTGTTTTATAATTGTACACTGATTTGTCTGTCTACATTTCCTATTAGGCTTGAGTTTTTTACACTCAGGTCTTTAACTACTAATGGGTCATAAAATCAGTTTTTAAAAGCTGAAATAAAATTGAATATAAAATATCAAATAAATAGTATAGGATAAACATTGCATTGTAAAACTTGTTACGTATAGGTAATATCTGTGCTGGTACACAATATATATATTTTTTACTCTAGTTTTTAACAAGTTTGAAAAGCCATTACACTAAACTGTCAATTCTTGAGGTCGTATCTGTATCTTACTATGAACATCCAGCAACTACAAAGTACCTGGGACACAGTAGGCACTCAAAAAGCACACAGTAAATACTGTAGAAATAAGAGAAATATATGAATGAACTGTAGAGACACAAAGTGTTGGCAGTGATTTTACTCTGAAGAAGTTTGGCACTGAAGAGATAGAGACAGAACAAAACTTGAGCAGGGGTTTAGGGGAAAGAAGAGACATGAGCATGTTCATTCACTCTGGGTAAGGATCCAGTAAAAATGGAGAGAGAAAATGAAAGATAAAGAAGATAATTTTTTGATTGTACAAGGCCCAAACAGGTTGGAAAGGACAAAGATCCAGGTACAATTACAGGGGTTAGCCTTAAGGAAAAGGAGTTGAGAATGAAGGACAATTGTTGAGAAGACATGGGGTACTGAAGGAACTCATTTATGAAGGCTTCCACTGTCAAATTAGGAGTCAAGGTTTGTGACAAGAGCAGTGGAGCTCTGAACTTAAGAGGAAACATTTGTGATTAAGGCCTTTGAAGAATGAGGGAGTCAATGGAGAGGAATTGAATCTGACGCCAATAGAGAATAAATATAAGTTGGAAACTGCAAATATTAAATTGGGTTAATCTGCATGATTACGTGAATTTTCCTCCAGCTTTGCCTGCCATCTGGGTATCATAGGAGTAAAAAATCAGTTGTTAGAAGAAAAATAATTTTAAAAAATGGCCACATAGGTCAAGAGAGAAAAGCAAATGAGAATGCTGATAAGAAAGGACAGTATACATGAAAGAATTCAGGGTTGGGTAGGAAGGGAGAGGAAGCAAGAGATTTGGAGAGTTAAGGGGTTAGAGAAGTGCAGTGGGCTCCTCTTTAATGGGAGAGGATGGAGGATAAGACACTTGAATAACATGGGGGTTAGAGGTACTGACCGTGGCACAGTTGAAAATCCACATATAACTTCGGACTTCCCCAAAACTTAACTAGTAGCCTGCTGACTAGAAGCCTTATTAATAACCATCAACACATATTTTGTATTATGTACTGTATTCTTGAAGTAAGCTAGAAAAAATGTTATTTAAAAATCATAAGGCAGGTGCCTGGGTGGCTCAACTGGCTAAGCATCTGACTTCAGCTCAGGTCATGATCTCATTGTTCATGGGTTCAAGCCCCCCGTTAGGCTCTGTGCTGACAGCTCAGAGCCTAGACCTGCTTTGGATTTTGTCTCCCTCTTTCTCTGCCCCTCTCCTGCTCATGCTCTGTCTCTCTCAAATAAAAAAAAATAAATGCTAAAAAAAAATTTTTAAAAAAAATCGTAAGGGAAAGAAAGTATTTATAGCACTGTAAAAAAAAAAAAAATCTACATATAATTGGACCCATGCAGTTCAAACCCATTGTTCAAGGTCAACTGTATGATTAAAAGGAAGAAGTTTTTGGGGCGCCTGGGTGGCGCAGTCGGTTAAGCGTCCGACTTCAGCCAGGTCACGATCTTGCCGTCCGCAAGTTCGAGCCCCGCGTCAGGCTCTGGGCTGATGGCTCAGAGCCTGGAGCCTGTTTCCGATTCTGTGTCTCCCTCTCTCTCTGCCCCTCCCCCGTTCATGCTCTGTCTCTCTCTGTCGCAAAAATAAATAAACGTTGAAAAAAAAAAATTAAAAAAAAAAAAAAAAAAGGAAGAAGTTTAGAATTTAAGGTATCAGAGGTGACAGAAAGCCTGGGTTGTATTCCCTAGAGGTAAGAAAACTAATTCTGAGATCACTGTCAAATAAAGTATACATCTCCATGGTGGTAACAGGAAGGAGCAGAAATACATATCTGTGCTAGGTTAAAAAAAATAAATAAAAAGCAATGAAGAAAGAGATAACATATCTATAGGCCAGAAAATAGAAAATATGGACTAGGTGACACTTCCTAATGAGGAATAGTTACTGAAAGAGACTACGTTTTTTTTAAGAGACATACAATGAAGGTGCCTAGCTGGCTCAGTCGATAACAGCATGCGACTTGATCTCAGGGTTGTGAATTCAAGCCCCATGTTGGGTGTAGAGATTACTTTAAAAAAAAAAAAAAAAGACATACAAAGTAAACATTTTATTATCATTAAAACCATTAAGAAATTTATTTGGAATCACATTATTCCCTTAATTTTTTCACAGAGAATATTCCATTTACTGTGTAGTTCATCATCTTTAGGACATGTTTTATGTAATATACTTGTTAGCATAGTAGTTTCAATTGGGCAAAACTTACTGCCAATAAAACCTGCTTTTAATTTGTCACATATTTCCAGTGGCAACCAATGATCAGGTACTTCAATATTACAGATTTCAATTCTTCCATTCTTTATGTCTATGACTATTTTAATTTCCAAATATGACTGTCCATATAATACATTAAAGGAAGTGTTTACACTAAACTTTGGAGTTTTGCCATATATCCACTCCCAGGTCTGTAGTTCTTTGGCTTTATTATTTATTCCAGGAAACAGTGTCTCATCTGTTGGGTTTATTAGGTTAATATGATTATCAATTTGATGGTAAGCAGCATATTCTGCAGCAATAGCATTCATCAGTACTTCACAGGTCAGAGTGGGATCTTTTTCCAAAAGATTTTTTACTACAGAAGGTATGCTAGCAGTGGCATTGCTCTTGATCCCTTGGTAAGGGCTCTTCAGCAAAGATGACAAGAAGGTCCTATTGGTACTACATAATAAAGTGCAATGGTGATAAGCAGTAGTCCGGCCAATCTTAGAAGCTGTTCCTGAGATTTTAAACTGTCCATCAAGTAAAAGGTCACATCTTTTGGTGGCCTGCACATCCAGCTGGGGTTGGATAGCATTCAGAGCTCTCACAACTAATTTTAAATTCTCCATCCTATTGTACTTTTTTTTGGTTGTAAAAAAAGTCAAATTGATATTACCCATATCATGATAGACTGTTCCTCCTCCACTTCTTCTCCGAGCCAGTTTTATACCTTCTTCTCTCATCAGATTCAGGTTGCATTCCTGCCAAGGATTCTGATGTCTACCTATTACAACAGAGGGAGAATTTCTCCAAAGGAAAAGAACCGGCTTGCCCTCTAGATTCACATGGTCATGGATCCAGTCTTCTACAGCCAGATTTTGATAAACATCATTAGAAATCGATTGTAAAATAAGCCCACTTTTTACTGTGTTTTTAAAGCCAGCTGTTGGGACCTTGAGGTTACAAAGTAACTGGAAGCAATTCTTCATTGAAAATGGGATCAGCATGCTTTTAAAAATGGAAGAGAAACAAGTTAATTGAGAAAAAGAAAATTTAATTGCATTTTCTAGCTCTTGATTCTCGGTTATTTAATCAAAATTTTTCTAATGTATCAGTTGCTTTGCTTGCCTTTTAGCTTTATTGTTAGTCTTTAACAACTCTACAACAGAGTACTCAAAGGAAATAAATGAAGACAAACCTGAAGAAGAGTTTCAATGTCTGATGGAATGTGCCTTGTGGAAACCACCTTCCCAACTTCTGGGCTCTGGAGAGATCCTGTTAAAGCCAGGATATCCTCTTTCTCCTAGAGGAGGCTTGGATTCATCTGGGACCGGTGAATCTCTTTTTATTCAATGGTTCAGTAACAGATCAGCCTTGAAGGTCTGGTAAAATGTTTCTTTTCTTTTTTAAAAATGTTTGCTTATTTTTGAGATAGAGGGCGAGTGGGGGAGGGGCAGAGAGACGGAGACACAAGACTCCAAAGCAGGCTCCAGGCTCTGAGCTATCGGTACAGAGACCCAGGCTGGGCTCAAACTTACCAACTGTGCGATCATGACCTGAGCCAAAGTCGGAGAAGCCGACTGAGCCACCCAGGCCTCCCTAAAATGTTTCTTTACATTTTATAGTTTTCCCCCAGACAACAACCTTATTTCCATATTCTAGGGGGACGCTTTGATACCACCATTTTGCATTACAAACATGCTTTTCAACACTGAACAGAAAGCAAAAGATAACAATTCCATCTATCCTCCTATGTAGGCCCAGCTCCTTCAAAACACCTGTTATTTTGCCACATCTTTGACAGTACATAACTGACCCAGAGTCTCACGACGGTCGCATGTTTTATTTCGCTTTCTTGGCTCTCTGTGGGAACGCACACACCTGGCACCCAAACATTTTAGTTTTTTACCCTCCTGCGTTGGGGATAAGCTGTTCCTAACCGTGGAGTTAGGTCGTCCCAAGCGGTGAGCGAAAACCACGGGGTGTACAGCACCGGCCTCGGCGGCCTGGCCTCAGAGTCCCAGGTGTCCACCCACCACTCACACCCAAAGGGCCGCCCGCCCCAGCGCCCCCGAACCGCACTTACAGCTTAGCTCACCTGCTTCTTCCAGTCGCGCGCACGGCGCACGCCGGTTCCTACAGGAGAAAGACGCGTGCGAGGACCCACGGCCCGTCAGGCTGCGCGCGCGGCCAGCCCCGCCCACTGCCCACTGGGCCAGAGGAAGGCTGGGCGGCGGAAGCGCCGAGAGGAGGCGGGGCCATGCCGGGAGCCCTTCGTTCTCATTCTTTGGTGTCTGGCTGTGGGTGCCCGAGGGGCTCTCGACAGAGTGGACCAGCTGGCGCTAAACCAGATTAGAGATGGGGATACGTTCCAATGGAAAGTCACAGCGCCCGCAGTTCAGATGGAGTTCCCCACGTGACAGCGCAGAGCTAATGGTCACCCAGGGCGAAGGTAGGACAGGGCGGCTGTGTCAGGTTGGAGGGGGCATTCGCAGAGCGAGGCCAGAGAGAGGACGCCAGGAAGCCAGAGCAGTCAGGTCGCATGCCAGGCCAGGCCAGAGCACCAGCAGATGCCTACTGAATGTGCAGTCATTGCTCCAGGTCTTTCCGTATCTCCTCACAGTCCAAAGAGCACATAATTCCACTTGGAAGGCGAGAAAACTAAAATCAGTTTTAAAAGACAAATTGCATTTAAAGGAATAAACGCTGGTATTCCCAATACAGAGATGGAAACTGCTGGGAAGGAGTGGGTCAGAAAATACACACTTAGGCTAATGAATGTTACCTATCTGCGGTGACCCTAAGTGCAGTTGGCAAGAAAATTCTTGTGGCTCAGCCAGATGGGCAATTCCTCCGGCAAGCCAAAGTTTCATTTAACTATTGCTGCATAATAACTGACTCAAACATCAGTGGCTTAACACGATTTTTTATTTCTAACATTTATACGGTTTCACCAGAGCTTTATTCATCCAGGGTTGGCTGAACTGGGAGGTCCAGGATGGTCTTATTCACACCCTGGCAACTGGTGTTTACTGGCTGCTGGGGCACCTCAATTCACGCCTACCCTTGGAAGAGACACTTCAGCCGCCTTATGTTAGCCAAAGCAACAACAAAGACAGGCCAGAGACAAGGGATGGAGCAATGGACCTCACCTTTTCATAAGAGGAGCCCAAAGAATTTGTGGTCTTTTTCAATCTTCCACAGAAATGAAAATTTTCATTTAGAATAGAAACTGCCTAAGCCTGCATCTTGGAATAAGCAGCATCCAGGGTTCACAATTTGGTGATGCTTCACAGGGCTCCATAAAAAGCTACAATTTTTTTTAAAAAGCTACAATAAAGACAAATGGCTCATTTATCATTGCCCATTGTTGAAGTTCCTCTTTCTTGTATTACGCAGATGGAATGGATTTTGTTCAGTTAGTCCCTCTAGGAATTTTATTAAAAATAGCCACACAAGGGGCGCCTGGGTGGCGCAGTCGGTTAAGCGTCCGACTTCAGCCAGGTCACGATCTCGCGGTCCGTGAGTTCGAGCCCCGCGTCAGGCTCTGGGCTGATGGCTCAGAGCCTGGAGCCTGTTTCCGATTCTGGGTCTCCCTCTCTCTCTGCCCCTCCCCCGTTCATGCTCTGTCTCTCTCTGTCCCAAAAAAATAAATAAACGTTGAAAAAAAAAAAAAAAAAAAAAATAGCCACACAATACTGTTTCCCTTTGCTTATATTACATCCTTCCTAAATTTCATTTCTCTCAAATCTGAGATGATAATTTTTTTCCCTTTATTTCCTACTGAGGTGGTTGTGTCCTTTGGTTATTCTTAACCCTTCTCCTACTTCACCTCCACTGGAACCTTCTTCCACTGACACCCAAACATGAACTCTGCTTCATCATAACAATCCTCCAGTGACCCCACTTCTTTTTCCACCTTTCATCCTGTCTACTTCCCTTTAAAAGAGCAGAGCTTCAAGGACTTGCTACATATCCAGTTGCTTACTTCCCATTCATAATCAACTTCCAATATTTCTTCTGTCCCCATTCTGTCAAAAGTGCTTTTGAGTGGGGGGTGGGGGGTGGTGAAATGGGTCAGGGTGGTCAAAGGTATAAACTTCCAGTTATAAGTAAGTCCTGGGGATCTAATGTACAGCATGGTGTCTATAGTTAACAATATTGTATTAATGTGTTTACAAGGTGCTGAGAGTAGATCTTAAAATTTTTCATCACAAGAAAAAAATTTGATGGATGTTAACTTATTGTGTTGTTTTGCGGTATATACATATATAAAATCATTATGTTGTATACTAAGCCAATGTCATATGCCAATTATATTTCTATTAAAACATAGAAATAAAGAATAAATAAATCTCTTTAAATCATTAAAAATGTATTCAGGGCTGATGAAGAATGAGGTCAGCTACTTATTTTCAAATGGTTGTGGGGAGACGGAAGGCCTTTGTGCTAGCAACTTTTCTGTAAATTTGAGATTGTTTCAAAATAAAAGGAAAATAATATATGTTAGGTGTCTGACACTGTACTAAAGACTGTTAGTGCCCCCATGCATTCTCCAGCTGCTGTGAGTGTAGGAGCTGTTGTGTCCAGAGACACGTTAGTGATTCATGCTACCTCCCTGCTCCTCCAGCCTCCCCCTTGGGCTTTGTGGTAGCAATCAAGGTCTGACTAGTATGGGGCACAATAGTGCCACCCTTTGCCTCAAAATGGGTAATGGAACAGCTGTACAGTCAGATCCTTCCAAAGCATCCTGTGGATCAGGCCAAGAATTTATCTGAGCCCTCATCCTCAGCTGACTCCTATTTCCCTGTCTTGCTTCCTTCACTCCCTTATATGCTTTTTCTAAAGAGCACACTCTCAAAAATCACATGCATCTGAATTCCTGTCTCAGGCAGTTTCTAGGGAATCCCAACTAAGAGATCACACACTAGCTCAATAAGTGAAAGCTTTTATTATTAGCATCCATGACAACATCATTAGATGCAATACATAATAGGTTTAGACACCTTATTTTATGGATATGTTGAATTTAAAGTCTCCTAAACATCCTTATTTCTGCTGAACTACGTTTTTTTTTTTTTTATGGGAAGTTTACTATCTTATTAGAAGTGGCAGAACTCTGAAAAGTACTCACTTTAGGATTCCACTTGTAGAATTCTCCCAAAACACCTAAGTGAGGTTGTTATCCTTATTAAGCTTGTTCCATTTTACCTCTTCCAGGAAGTCTTTGTGGATTTCCCTTGTCAAGTGTGCTGCTAAAACTATGGCTTAGGTTGGATTTGAGGATTCCAGTTTTTTGGTATCTTAGCAGCAGTGGTTCTCAATGAGGGTGATTAATGTTAGCATTTTTATTGTCTCAATGACTTGAGTGAGCTACTATATTTGATATCATGCAATGCATGAGGCATCATGCACAATGAAAAATCATCCCACATTCAGCATCACCATGACTATCAAATATCCTGTTGGACATTCATGGAGATGAAAAACAAGGCTGTAAATATCTGAGCCAAGCCCCTGTTAAAAAAAAAAAAAGTGATTTTGCTAAGGTCATTGTGACATTTCACGTTGCTAGATCCAATCCTTGTCTAACCTTGCAGTTGACTACCTCCACCTTAATGACTACTGTGGGCAATCTTGACATTACCTTGTCTTGGTTTTCCACCATCCTCAATGCCAGTTCCTCAGTTCCTTTGCTAGTTCCCTTGTGCTGACTAGCTCCTAAATGTTGGAGTTCTCAGGACTTTACTCACATTATACATTCACCTTAAGCAACTTCATTCATTCCCAAGGCTTTAAATGCCATTTCTGTGTACAACTTCAAAAGTTGTATTTTTAGTTTCATACATATAAATGACTACTTGCCTTGGAAGCTGAGTTATGTCCCCAAACCATGCTCCTGAGGTTTTCCCTAAGGAACCTCCATGCATGTAGTCTCTTTAGCTAGAAATCATTTCTTTTTCCTCCACTTTCAAACCATCACTCTTTCCTGCTAAACTTCATTTGGACTTTAACCCTTCTCAAGATTTCAACCATCACCATCATGTTACTTAGACAACCATGTCACTGCAAAAGCTATGAAAACTTCATAGTTCCAACAATTAAAAATCAAGTTTATGTGTTAAGTCTCCTGTCCTGAACATTTTACTTTTTCTTCATGGTACATCATAATATGCATCTTATAGAATTACTGTCTGATACTCTATCTTCCCTGGTAGACAGTAAGCACTATGAAGATGGTGGCTATTTTATTCACTACTATATCCCCACCAAGAAACATAATGCCAAGTTAGGTGAACAAATGAATGACTATGTTTTTTTCCTCTCCCAAAGAATTATGTTCTGTAAATGATAAAAAGCAGTGTCTTATTGGCTTATGTCCAATTCAACAATTTTATTTAACTCTAGGATCAATATTCCCTACAATATATTTGTATTTTTCTGATTTATAAAATAGTTTCCCCTGAAAGAAGATGGTTTTTCATCTTTGTTTTTATGAATATTAAGGAAATTTCTCACAATTAGCCATTAGAGATAGCCAGTAAATTTTAAAGTACAGGAAAATGTTCAAAACATACATACATACGTAATATAAATAGTTACAAGGTCACTATATGTCAACACAAAATGGTTTTACTTTCATCTAACAATACTTGGGACAATACTGCTGTCTCAAACTACTAGACATTTCTATAAGAATGGCAAACTGATGCATATAAAACAAGAATTTTTTTTATCAATATATTAGGTTTATTTATTTATTTATTTTTTCAGTATATGAAGTTTATTGTCAAATTGGTTTCCATACAACACCCAGTGCTCATCCCAAAAGGTGCCCTCCTCAATACCCATCACCCATCCTCCACTCCCTCCCACCCCCCATCAACCCTCAGTTTGTTTTCAGTTTTTAAGAGTCTCTTATGCTTTGGCTCTCTTTCACTCTAACCTTTTTTTTTTTTCTTCCTCTCCCCCATGGGTTTTTGTTAAGTTTCTCAGGATCCACATAAGAGTGAAACCATATGGTATCTGTCTTTCTCTGTATGGCTTATTTCACTTAGCATCACACTCTCCAGTTCCATCCAAAAACAAGAATTTTTTAACACAATACTATTTTTCTTACATTAAATATTGGTGGTATAAAATGGTAGTATCTATAAGATAAACCATTAGACTTGGAAATAACTATTTTGTAACTCTGAAATGAATTCAATGTGGGGAAAAATAGTTTTAAAAGGATGATTTAAAATGTGAAATGCTTCTCAAGATATGTAATTTACTGGTCTTTTGCAGGGTTTATGTGAAGTGATCTTTTACAGAACAGAAATGCAAAACTGCAGTAAGATAAAGTACCCTAAAGCAAAATCCCAAACTTGAAATATTAAAAAATTGGTACACTAGAAATAATATGAAATACAGATGTCAAATTGTTCAGGCACTGTTTTTTGATCACTTGTTAGAGAAACATTATAATTAAAATGTTTTAGTACCATTTAAATACTGTTAATCAAAAATTCTGATTTTTGACAAGGATAGAATACCAGAGAATTTTGCTTTGAATTTTGAAAAGTTTTTTTCCCCTAAAACAACTGTTTTGAATATGTATCAAAAAAGTGCAGTCTAAGGTGATTCATAAATAGTGAAAAATAAGCAATCATCATCCTTCATTTTGTTAGGTTTTCCTAATAAGGTTAAGTTCTCATTCAACATGCTCTCTTAGTAAAAGCAATTTCTTTGGCAGAATGTACAAATAACTTCATTCCACATCTGTCATTTCTATTCCATCATTTTCTTTAACATATACTACAGAACCCAAGATTTTCTCTGAAAGAGATCCTGTGCCAATCTCTTTACTTCTTGTAAAGTTTTCTTGGCTTGTGTTTTCTAATCTTATTTTCTTGATGTTTTGAAATAACTGAGTCACTGGTTCCAACTTGCTTTTCTCAGTCCCTTGCATTAAATGATCGTCCACTTTTGAATCCGCACGCATAGCAGATACCCGAGTAGCAGATTTACTAAGGGAAAATCCCATTGGGAGAGCTGAATAATATAGTTGGCAGGTATCTCTTTAAGCAGTGGAAATGTTTCTTCAACTTGATTGCTTGGAAAGAAATGATAACAGGTGAATACAGTGGTAATTTCAACTAACCTCATAGCAGTGCTTGTTTTCATGAAACATCATGGTGGTGACTCTAAAAATATAAAGTAAAATTGCCTTGGGGTGCCTGGGTGGCTCAGTCGGTTGAGTGTCCAACTTCAGCTCAGGTCAAGATATCATGG